TAGTAGTACTACTACTAGTACTACTACTAGTAGTAGTACTAGTAGTAGCAGTAGTATTATTTAAAAGTAAAATAGGAAACAACCAGCCTCTACTTTCAAGATTAGGCTTAAACCTTTCCTTTCTGATAACGCTGGATCAGGTGACCCTGAATCCCTCCTTCGTCCTGGTTTCATCTGATGTGCTTAGAGATTTTCCACTTGTTTCACTCCCACTGGAATCAGTCAAATATGTTTTCACTATAAGTATTTCACTTCATCTGATTAAAGACGATGTGCTCAGTGCTGCTGCTGTCTGTCCGGCTCATGCTGTCTTTGTTGTTCTCTCAGTCCTGCAGGTGGAGGTCGAATCAGGGGTGGAGTCTGTCCAGCTGCCCTGCAAAACTACAGCTCATCTGCCTGAAAATTGTAAAGTGGAGTGGATGGATGGTGATGAAGATGAGGTCCATGTGTATCAGAACGGCTCTGACCAGCCTGAACAACAGGACCAGGTTTACAGAGACCGAACGAAGATGAATGAAGACCTGCTGAAAACTGGAGACCTCAGTCTGACCCTGAAACAGCCCACAGATGAAGACAGAGGCACCTACACCTGCACCGTCTACAGCAGGGAGGGAAACATCCTGCTGAAGAAACAAGTGGAGCTGAAAGTCAGAGGTCAGTGTTGTACATACAGTTAGCAAACTAGCTAACCCTCTCTTTAATAAATATATATTTTTTGTTTATGTAAACTTTTTGTGTGGACTCAGCACATTGTGCCAGTTCGTGACATGCCAGGGAACTGAAGGCTGTCAGTATCCGTCGAGCAATGACAGCTCGGTGAATGGCTGGACGGGCCCCGTGGGTCAAGGCCTGAGCAGGTTACGTGTTCTCAGATGAGCAGTGGTGTGCCTCATTCAGTCCAGGTTTCTGGACTTCTGCTGTCATCAATATGCATATTGTGGAGATGAGGGAAATATTTTACTGCTACTATTCATAACCATCATCATTACCATTACATTAATTATCATTTCATCAAAGCATTTGTTCAATAGATTACACATGTTCTTAGTTAAGATTATTACACCTATCACAGAGAGCTTCTGTCTGGTAAAAGGCCAGAAGCACCAACGGGCGGGGTGAGGCCGAGTGCGCTGGAGGTCGAGACACACACACAAACAGTAGTTAGAGTCGTGTTCAGGTAAGAGTTCAAATAATAGTTGCAAAAGCTGGTGATTGCAAAAACAGTGTGTTGTGCAGTTTTGGGGTGAGATTGATGCTGATGGTGCAGTGTTCATCTCCACACGCGTGTGTTCATTAAAATCATTGTTTGACCGAAGCTCTTCTGGACCATTATTGTTGTTGTACTCTCCCTCAACATTTGAACCCGTTTTTAACAATATCTTATAAACTTCTCTTAGTCTGGCCCCTCACCCACGACCAGTCTCTCGTAGTTTCCCTGAACCACCTTCCTTGGTTCAAGAAAACATTACATTTAACATTTCCTGCAATGGACACCTTGACTCACCTTCAAAGAAAGCTTTGACTCTGACCAGTTGACAGTCACACTGTTCTTTAAGAAGCAGCCAGATCTGC